CATCCAATAATTCTCTATTAACATTGGAATGGATTTTAATCTGAAGTTCAGCAACAGGACCATGAACTGACACACTTCTTCCTAGTATAGCATATACACTCACTGTCCACTTTCTTAGGTACACCTGCACAAACATATTCAATTCAATGCAACACTTCCGCCTTAACATCTGTGTTTATGAAGCTCAGTGTTTCAGTTTTTGGTGAAATTGGCATAAATGTATAAATTCAATTATATGTTTATTATTGAGGTCATAGGTGGTGTTGGACTACATTATATTCAGAGGTGTCTCTATTTTTCTGTCCTCCCCAGCTACATACATGAGAGGGTCAGAATAAGGATAATCACTTTATTTGCAAGTATGTTACACACCCAAGGAATTTGTTTCCAGTACAGAACCGAGGCAGCCATCTGCAGCGCCAACTCACACCAATGGCTCTGACCATCGGGGGCAGCTTGTGGTTCAGTGTCTTGCCCAAGGACACTTCAGCATTTGGACTGAAGGCACTGAGATTTGAACCCCCAACTCTCCATCTGGGAGATGACTGCTCTATCCACGGAACCACAGTCATAAAATGAACTGTGACTTGGACCAGCATATACACTAAAACAATAAATCAGTAATTTGGTGCAGGGTGTTTTATTTTAAGGTAGCATCTATTTTCTTAATACCTATTCTGATTTGTTAAAAACAAATATGAACAAAATATCAGAGAGATAAGAACAGTGTTAAAGTATTCTAGAAGAATATAATGTGAATAATAGACTTAAAGCTTAACTTTTCTCTCTGCTTGGGTTGTTGAATTATGAAAGATAAAGCCTTTTTCCTGCCCTTAAAAATCCAAAAATCACTCTTCTGATCTGAGGCATATTCAGGCCGTAAACTAGAGGGTTGATGATGGGAGGAATGATCAGAAACTCCAGAGATAAAACAATAGCAAAGGTTGTTAGTCCACCAACATTATACCATCTCAGTGAAAACTCAAAATATTGAGATGCAGAAGTTTCCAAAAGTCACTATGTGGGGCAGGCAGGTCTGTAAGGTCTTTCCTCTGAAGTCAGATGAACTTCTCCTGCAGACAAGCAGAATGCGCAGGTAGGTGTACAGGACAAAGGACAGGGGGATGAACACTGATGTCACAGCAAGAAACTGACTTGCTATGCTGATCACAGTTGTGTCCACAAAGGAGAAATTAATTATAGACCAGGTGTTGCAAATAATCCTGTTCATGTTATTTCCACACAAAGGCAAAATGATTGCCTGATAGAAAAAGTACCTAAAATACACACAGGGTACAGGACAGCAAGAATCAAAAGCAGCAGCACCGTCCTAAATGTCACTTTTGCTGTGATAGTGTAAAGGCTGGCAAATAGCAACAAACCTGTCATAGGCTATGACAGTGAGAAGAGACAACTCATCTCCTACATAATTGTACATAATGTACACCTGAATGAAAGAGAGCGGACGTGAGATGAAATGAGTGTCAGACAGAAGGTCCATCAGGAACCTGGGGAAGAAGCCGGTTGAGCCTTACAGAGAGTTTAAACACAGAGAGCAGATGAAAACATACATGGGCTGATGCAGAGAGGTCTCCAGGCAGACTGACAGAACAATGACAAGATTAGCAGAGATTATAGTCACGTAGATCAACAGAGAGAGACTGAAGAAAAGATATCTGAGGGGCCCATAACTGATTAACTAGTGTGTCCAAAAAAGGCAGTAAATGTTAATGTATTTCATATCATTCAGAACATATATTAAGAATTTGCAGCAATAAAAAATAGATGTACTAAATTGCTCAACCAGCATCACATTTCTCAAGTCAAATAACAGAACTGAGCACAAAAGATAAATAACACGAAGTGCTTATGAACAAACACAGAATGCAATGTGGTTATAAACAGCTACAGCTGACATTCAGCTACCAGCTCCTACACGTCTATTGTCAGAGGAGAAACTATTTCAATGTAATTATTTTTGCAGCCATAGTAAAATGGTAAAAAGTAAAATGTTAGAAACTGTAGTAATGGATGTTTAAATCTGCATGATGTTTACTAGATAAACTAAATTAGTTTAAATGTGATTTACCTCTCAGGAGTGAAGTAATGATGGCTGATTATTAGAATGAGATTGATGACTTAACTTTCAACAGAATTGTATCAGAATATACTTCAGATAAATTAGTCAACTATCCACTTATTACAATTATTATATATTATAAACCTAGTGTCTATTCTTAGTCAGCTAAACACTGTGCACTACTAAAATCATGGTCTTATGTGGCCAATATCGCAGCTTTTATAGGCTATTTCAGACTTGTTAGGTAATTTCTTAGTTAGATAGATATTGATTAGAGATCTGTTGTATTAGAAACTGTTAGTGTAGACAGGATGTCTAGCTCAGGCTGTTAATTGCTTAGTTCATTGTCATGAGCTTGCTGCAGGCTGCATGTGGGCCCCAAGGTCAACTAGATTGAGGAGTCTGCAGGCAGGATGAATATTGCTAGCAGCATGATATGCTCAGCCGTAATCTTAATCATAACATTTTCCGAGGCTTACTGTTCGGACATGTCCCTGAATGTCCTGTATGTTTTTAGATACACACCACATAATCAACATTCACACACATTATTTTCTGCATGTTTTGACTACTGCTCTGCTCAGCTGCCAAGCTGGCATATCAGGTGCCGTCACGGTTTGACGTGGCCTGTGTAGGATGGGGCTAGCCCAGAAGGATTAATATTGTATAGGTTTCTAGGTTCAGGGTCTTTCTTCTTCCGGGCTGCCTGCGAGCAGCTCTGGGAGTGGAAGATGCCTGGACGTGTAATGTTAATTCTTGCCTGTGACCTAAAGGCTCTATTCCATTATAAAGCCTCGTCCGGTTCTTTCAAACCAGGAACTCAGAGGGACGACTCAGACCACTTGAGTATATAAAAAATATAACCGTGCTGGTTTATTCAAAGAGGTCTTTAGACTAAATGTCCTCAAAGAGCCAAAGTATTGGCTTCAAAAACTTTCTCAGTAGAAAACATCTGAAGGGTTAAGGAGGGAGCTGCCTATAACTGCAGACTGTTATTGTTTGGGAGGATTTGGGTCTTGTCCTGAATTAATTTAATGAAAGAGGGAGGTCTGCAGGGAACTGTTCACAGGTTCATGGTAGTCAAATACCGAGTGAATGTCTCCACCTAAAAACCTCAAGCAGTGTCTGAAGCTTTAATATGTTTCAAATATGTCACCTTAGAGTGAGAGGTTACGATATGTCCCTATGTCCAGGGGTTAGGAGATCATGGCCTTCAAACAACATGTAGTGGTAGGGGTGTCCCAATTCTCCTTACAATGGAGGGGAAAGGCAAAGTGGTGTAGCTACTCTCTCCAGCATGTGTTTACCAATAACAGTGGGAGCATGTTAGCCTGCAGTGTGCCCCAGTTCAAAAGGTGGCACGGCTGAAAATAGCAACACATGAGGGCACAAACACACCACACTTCTACGTCCAGAAATGTTCATCTGTGAGACTTAGCAAATGTAGACACACTGAAAAGTTTCTGTGCTCTGGTACAAACCAAAGTGACAGTGGAATAATGATGACCGCATCATCTATACAGAGGATATTTTGTTGTGAACAAAAAATTACACAACGCAACAAAAATATATTGAAATAGTTTCTCCTCTGCATCAGCTAACCCATTGTCTTCCTCTGCATCAATCAACCTTGAGCATGTGTCCCTGTCAGCCTGGTTGTCTCTTGTATTGTTATAACTACTGTTAGAAAAAACCCATGTTTTGTTGAAAGCGCAAGAAGTGAAGACAGAAGAGGACTGTATCAAACCTACAGAAAATGTAATCAAAGTGTGGTCACAGGTGAAGTCATACAGCGCTGGGATCAGAGAGACAGAGCTCATGCAGGAAAATCCATTCTCTGAGCCCCGAGTTATGTTGTCTGGTTACACTTTTCTTCTCGGGCTGAGTCTGCCCTGGACAGAGGTACAACATTTCACACTTTGTAATCCTATTGGCCATTTGGCATGAGCAGGTCAACCTCTGCGCATGCCTGCTTGCTGAAATGTGATCTAAACCAGGTGTGTGTGTGTGTGTGTGTTGTGATTTTCAGGTTGGCAGCTAATCAATGAATACTGAACAATTGGTTGTCTGTGCTGCAGACCCCCTATCTGTATAGGCTATTGCAGGACAAAAGCAGGACCTGGTGAATATGCTAAACGGGTCAGGTGGTCATCACAGGTTGTAGGCCCCCTGTCTCTGCGAGATACCACATGACAGAGCAGAACTTGAAATATGCTAAGCGGGCCTAAGTGAAGATGCAAAACAGGCCAACAGGTTTATGTTAAAATGTAAAGTAGGCCATCTGATTACTTGAAGGTACAGACTTCATGTCTCCACAAATGTTACAGCATACAGTTCCAAAGTTTCACTCAGTAAAATTTGGCAGTCATTAATACAGTTTTAATATATATAAGCAAGGGAAAGGTATGAAAAGTAACTAAAGGAAACTAAAGCTTATAATGTAACTAAAGCCTATAAGATTCAAATCTTACACTACAAGAAAAGAAAAAGACAAAGGAAACACAGAGTGAGTTAGTGAAGGTCTGGACTTACATCATCTCCCTTTGGGCCCAGTCTGTGTGTGTGTGGCTGCTCTCAGCAAAACAGGATGAGAGTCCAGCAGCTGCCTCACTTTGGGTTACACTGGGAGAGCTATCAGTGAATAACTGTGGCTCCGTCAGCTGTGTCAATGGACGTGTAGGAGCTGGTAGCTGAATGTCAGCTGTGCCTTTTTATAACCACATGACATTTTTTATTCTTTGCGCTCAAACATTAAGATTCTGTTTACTTATTACAGGAAATGTGTTGCTGGTTTGCAATTTAGTACATGTCTATTTTTTATCTCTAAATTCTTAACATATATTCTGAATGATATGAAATACATTAGCATTTACTGACTTTTTTGGACACACTAGTTAATCAGCTCTGCTGCTGTACAGACATGACGAGCAACAACAACCTGACTCCCTCCTATTTTCAGTTCACTGTGTTTGCAGACTATGGGTCAGATATCTTTTCTTCAGTCTCTCTCTGTTGATCTACGTGACTATAATCTCTGCTAATCTTGTCATTGTTCTGTCAGTCTGCCTGGAGACCTCTCTGCATCAGCCCATGTATGTTTTCATCTGCTGTCTGTGTTTAAACTCTTTGTACGGTTCGACCGGCTTCTTCCCCAGGTTCCTGATGGACCTTCTGTCTGACACTCATTTCATCTCATGTCCGTTTTGTTTCATTCAAATGTACATTACTAACACCTGTTTAGGGCATGAATTGTCTCTCCTCACTGTCATGGCCTATGATAGGTTTGTTGCTATTTGCCAGGCTTTACATTATCACCGTAAAATGACATTTAGGACAGTGCTGCTGCTTTTGATTCTTGCTGTGCTGTACCCTGCGTGGGCTTTTGGCTACTTTTTCTATCAGGCCATCATTTTGCCTTTGTGTGGAAATCAACTGCACAAGATTTTTTGCACCACATGGTCTATAATTAATCTCTCCTGTGTGGACACAACTGTGATTAGTATAGTAGGTCAGTTTGTTGCCATGATATCAATCTTCATCCCCCTGTCCTTTGTCCTGTACACCTACCTGCGCATTCTGCTTGTCTGTAGGAGAAGTTCATCCGAATTCAGAGGAAAGGCCTTACAGACCTGCCTGCCCCACATAGTGACTTTTGGAAACTACTGCATTTCTCTGCTTTGTGAGTTTTCACTGACTATGTATAATGTTGATGAAGTAAATACATTTTCTGTTGTTTTATCTCTGGAGTTTTGGATCATTCCTCCCATCATTAACCCTCTAGTTTATGGCCTGAATCTGCCTCAAATCAGAGGAGTGATTTCTGGACTTCTTAATGTAGGAAAAAGGCTTCGTCCTGTGTAATTCAAAAACCCAACAAGCAAAGGAGTTATGAACCCATAATTCTGTTATTCATATTATGTTCTTCTGTGTTCTATGATATTGTAACTCTAGTTTGTCTATACAACTATTTTGTTTGCTCATATTTGTTTTAAACAAATCATGTGATGGAAACAGATGCAGCCTTAAAATAAACCACACTGAAAGACATTAATTATTAATAATGCTCTAGTGTTTTAGAGCCATGGTCCAACTGACATCAGACTAAAACACGTCTCAAATACTCATATTTGAATTTTAATTTGCAGAAAAGCTTATTTCAACCTGACATGATCTCCTCTGTTTCCATGTGTCACCATGTCATGTGCTCTATGTAATAACATATTTTAAAAACGTTCATGAGCAATAAATCAGACTCTGTGCTGCTTTTCTGGCTGACAGTTTGACCTAGAGTACTGTATAAAAGGTGTCTAATAGTCAGTACAAGTCACCACAATGGGATGGTTGTTGCTCAGTAGGTAGATGGTCACATCAACCTGACAGTGTTTGATTGTTTGTTGTGTCTTGTTGCTTTTCTTCTTTTCTCTCTCCTCTATCCACTCACCCCAACCGGTCGAGGCAGAAGGCCGCCCACCAAGAGCCAGGGTCTGTCGGAGGTTTCTTCTGTTAGGGAGTTTTTCTCCCCACTGTTGCCAAGTGCTGCTCAAGGGGGATTTGTTGGGTTTTCCCTATGTAATAATAGTGTTAACGGTAAGGTCTAGACCTTACTCTGTAAAGTGTCCTGAGATGACTTTTGTTGTGATTTGGCGCTATACAAATATAATTTGATTTGATTTGAAATACATTAATTATTAATAATGCTTTAGTGTTTTAGATCCATGGTCCAACTGACATCAGACTAAAACATGTCTCAAATACTCATATTTGAATTTTAATTTGCAGAAAAGCTTATTTCCACTTGACATGATCTCCTCTGTTTCCATGTGTCACCATGTCATGTGCTCTATGTAATATATTTTAAAAACTTTCATGAGCAATAAATCAGACTCTGTGCTGCTTTTCTGGCTGATTAACAAATTGGGCATTAATTATAAATACTTTTAGCATAATTTTCATTTCACTTCTCTTATATAATTTTAGATTGAGATATCTTCCGCTTCTGTCAAATTGAAGTGTGAGATTGAGGTACGACCCCTACGCCCCACCTATTGTTGACATTTGGCTTCCACCCGCATCTGAGCCACCTGGGCAGTTTTCCGGACATTATTTTATATTGTGCAGGTGTCTACAATAAAATGACAGCTCGCAACAATAAAACTGGGGTCTACGCTGGATGCAGTGTCCTCTCTTATCCACACTGCTCTTGTCCACCTGGAGAGCAGAGACACCTATGTCAGGCTGTTCTTCCTGAACTTACAATATTCCCACAGACTCTAGCACACAAACTCTAGCTGCTTGGTGTAAAGCAAAGATGCCCACACCTTGCGAGCTACTTTTCAAATGACCAAGTCAAAATGATCGACCTACACTAAAAACACTACGCGCACGCACACACACACAAAATATATGTATGAATGAGTGTCATAGTTTTTATTAACAGTCTGAAAGTGCCGCTCCACATTTCCCTTCTTTGGAATAGTGATGGTAGATTGGTAGCTCAAGTAAACGCACTTCGAATATAACGTCGTGAAAAAAAGGCCTCCCATTCCACATGGAATATTTTAGGTATGTTTCCGGTTTCTTACTTGATTCGGCTCCCCCACTCATTTTATACCCTTTAGTAGAAATTAATTTGAAGGCTGACAAGATAGTTAGCTCACTGGAGTTTTGCAGTAGCTTGTGCGGTTGACTGTGCATGTTTGGTGACTCGTGTGTCAGAAAAGACAAGATCTCAGACTGGTTGCCCTGCATGTCAATCAAGTAGCAAATGCCATAGGGAGGATGGATGATGGGCTATATATGAATGATTGTCACATTCTGCTTTTCCCGTTAGGGGTCGCCACAGCGAATCGTCACACGGACCATTCGCATGTTAACATTTAGCATGTGTTTTACACCGGATACATCTAATTAATTTTTTTAATGGCACGGGATCCACCTGTAAGATTTGATTCTTATAGGCTCTAGTTACTTTATAATCTTTAGTTACTTTTCAGTTCTTCATTGTCTTTTAGTTACTTTTCATACCTTTACCTTCCTTGCTTACACATGGTAAAACTGTACTGATGATTGACCAGAACTACTGAGCCTTGGTTACTTTAATACATTTATTTTCCTTGCATGTATATTTTCCAATTGTACTGATGAGAGTCAAGTGATACTGAAGTAGAAATTGACTACTTGTTAGGGTGATTTTTATTTTATGCACTTAAGAATGGTTTTATTTTATAGCACACATAAGTTTACATACTTATATGTCACAGATATGCTTATATAGTTATGAATATCACTATATGTTAAAGGCTAAAAACCATTATAAAGCCTCATCCGGTTTTTTCAAACCAGGAACTCAGAGGGACGACTCAGACCACTTGAGTATATAAAAAATATATCCGTGCTGGTTTATTCAAAAAGTCACAGGCAAGAATT